CCCCCCCCTCCCGACTTTTTTCACTTTGATGTTCCTTCCTCTCTGTGATGCCTGAAGTCAACTAAAGGGCTAATGATAACCATCAAGACGCCTGCCATTTGATGAAAATAAATAAATAAACAATAGAGTGAATGAAATTTACTTTTATTAAAGTGTTTGACGATATGGCAGATGGTAAAGAATGTGACAAGTTATAAATTTACTGTGAATTTCGAGAATACTTTGTTTTATTTTTTTAATGAAATTCTATGATTGCAACTCAAATACTCAGACTAACAGCAAACGTATAATTTAAAAAAAAACAAATACGTGTTCATTGTGCAAGATCCTTCGATTTTATCTGTTAGAAGAAAGGTGGTTATTATTGGTAGAATGAAATTCGTGCCTTAACGAAGTTTACGGTGTTGAAAAATTTGCAACACTTATTTGTCTACTTAAGATCTTCCATCTTCGTCCTTACTTCCAGATAACATGCTCGTCAGCCTATCCACTCAGGCCTCCAGAAGTATCATTCGATACTCCCATTTACCATCCGAATATTGATTTCCTTGGTGGGAGTATTTGTCTGAGCATTTTCACACAGTGGCGAACGTAAGCAACTATTCTCTTTCTTTCACTGTCTTAGAATATATAGAAATTATTTACTTCGTAACTTACCATTCCTATTTACAGATGCTACGGCTTGTTGGACTTGGTGAAGGCTATTCTTTACCTCATTGATCATCCCAATTTCGAATCACCTCTCGCTGAATTTCGGGAAGAATCGACGCAAGAGGCCATAGCAACGAAATCAGCTCTACTGTTGGCTGGTTTGCCAGTAGATGGGCAACGTTTCGCACCGAACAAAACGTGGTGTGATTGGGCTCGAGATAATAACTGTCTTCCCACTGCTGACGATGTGAGGGAAGGGTATATTTGGACTGCGCCCAAGGAGGAGATTCATGTTTCCTTGGATATTTTTGAAAAGGAGAGTGATGACTCTGAGGTACGTTATGATTAAGAAATTTTCATTGACTTCTGCTAAGACAAGATGGAGATATCAATAAGTGGAATGATGGCTAGATATGTTTCTGTATTTTTGAGCCCAATTTGAAGGGGTAAATTCGTGGTTGTGCTATTAAGGGCTTATTGACAAGTACATTGTTTTGATTTGTTGCCCTATCTCTTCGAATGCACTTTCCTTCCAATGGATAAGGCGTATGGGGAATGATGTGATCTGGCATATGGTTCAACCAAATTCCTGTCACAACTTTTTCTAATTTAGTCGGTCTAGATATCAAACCTTGTTCTCCATTCAGAGAGAATATAAGGGGTTTATTGATTACTAGAAATAAGGGGATTAGTATAAATGAGGAAGGTGTAGTGGTTGGCTTGTAAGTGATGGTGTTCAAACTCGAATGAAGAAGCATAGTTAATGAAACCGAGAGATGCGGTGTTGCCGAAGGTGGCGAGCGGAGTCATGATAATTTATGCATGGGACATCTTGGAGCCACGCAAAATACACGTGGACAACACACCTTGTCTAGACCATATTTTAATGTAGTGCATCAATTAGAGTTGATTGGAGAAAGAAGTAGGAGAGGACAAATTACAACGCCTCGAGGGAGCCGAACGTGGAGGTTGCCTCAACCCATAATAGACGAAATAAGAGGTCAATCCCCTCCCTCTCCCCCCCCCCATTCCCTTAGAAAGCGGAGGCCACATGAGGCAATTTTGAAAAGAAAAGCAAGAAACTGTGAACTGGACCTGCAATGGGAAACGCCTTGGACCTAAGTCCAAGACTGTGCTAGATTCTTGATTGCCTGTTTTTTCCTCCATCCACTCTTGACTGGCTTTCCTGTTCCACAAGTAATGTTTGTATTTACGTCTTACCGTGAGTGGGATATTTGCTGGTACTGATGGATGTGATTAAATAGATAGGACCTCTCATAGTTTAAAAATCTTTTCTATTTTAGAGCAACGATGAGGCCCTATCAGAAATTTGGTCAGATGTATCTTCGGATACAATTCCTTCATTTGCAAAATTTCGCAATTCAATCGCTGATGACGATGATTTCTGTGACGCCAGTCGCTCTCTTTCGCAATATTATAAACCCTATACTCCCTTTGAACTTGGAATGCATCGAATAATCCTATTTAAGCCAACTCACAAAGATTGTCCAGAGCAGAAGTCAACATTTTATTACGGTGAAGTCTTGTGTAATCGGTACCATTTAGAAGAAATTGGATTGCAATATCTCGATATCTTCAAAGGGAGCTTGACTTTCGATATGCAGGTCGACCAAGAGACTAGACAGCGGTCAAGGATATGTGTATGGCAGCCCTTCGTTGAGGAAATATATAGTCACAGCGCGTATTCACATTCTCTTCGCAAATATCACCTCGCACAGCTATTTCTAGAACCGAGACCTCCAAGGAATTTAACAGCCGACTTCTGTCCTTGGTCGAAGGAAGATGGTTTAGGTGTAAATTATCTGCTTGACGGACTGTTTTTCGACAAGGAAAGAAGAGGAGGAGACTTTGTATGCTTTCTTGATGAAGGTTCTGAGGGGAAAGGAAGCAGTAGTAATGTATTGGTTGAGTTGTTCAACACTGAAAACTTGGACGAATGGGAATATGAGGCGACGAGTAGTGTTGAAGAGAGTATTGAGGATCAATCCGAACTTGCTTCAGTTGCACACAGTATTGAGAAAGAAGAAACAGGGGAGTCACCGATCTCAATCCTTGATGAGTCATCGCAAATGTCTTGGTTAAGATGTGGGACTTCCATGAGATTATGCAGTAATTGTAACGAAAATGCGCAGCTAATGTTTGACCTCATTAACCGTGATATGCCTACTGATTGGAAATGGGTATTTTTGCAAACAAGGTGGCCAATTCGATTCGCACCACAACAGTCAGTAGAGTTGAACATAGCCGATATCTGTGTACCACCATGGCGAGTTAGTGCGGGTCGCCTACTTCATGATGTGTGTCACTACTGCACGAAGAATCCCCATCTCGAAAACCTCGTACTCTTGGATCCCATGGTAAGTCATTGGTTCTTCTCTAAGTGAACCTAATGTAACAATGCATTAACTACTGTGTTTGAACTCGTAGTCGCTGTCTCCACTGTCCCCACTGCAAAATCTGATGCAGCGGAATGCGAGCAAAAGCGGACAAATGACTGGAGTCCTATGGATGAGCCCTCTTCAAGCTCTCTCCCCCCTTTTCCAAGTGCCCATTTCAACGAATAACTGTCCATCACCCAGTACTCTACGTTACCTCACTGTGAGTGCTTTTGCCACCAACTGGGTGTCGTGGCTATCACGAGTGGAAGTCTATTCTTCGCTTGGATTCTCACGTCCCCTACCGAAATACGTGACTGATTCGGTGGCAGCTCATATTCTCCAGCCTTTTAGTCTGGGTTGTGGAGAAGCTCCATTACTCGATCTTTACCCATTGTGGTTGCTTCGAAATATTCTTAGGTTCACTCTCCATCTGCCAGGGTTCCTTTCCTACCTACTCCAGTCTATCAGTTCTTGTGGAAATGAGTCTACTAGATGTACTCACGCGTTCTTTCCTTTTTCAGATGTGGATGAAATTTGAAATTATAATAAAATTTTCGATTTCCGACAAAAATTTGTCAAGTATATGTTTGTGTTAATTTGGATTTTAATGGTAATTGCAGTGTTATTGAAAATGAGATGACAAACAGCCAATAAACTCCTATTTTTCCGTTTTATCATTTTGTGTTTTGTTGACTACTGTTTTTGAACAAAGAGGAGAGGGCATGTTTATATTTGGTAGAAATAGCTGATCAGCCAACAAGTCAGTCGGTCGATAGGCTTGGGTGGACGTCTAAGTATTGTTGAAAATACTTGATATCGTTGGAAAGTGCATATTACTGCAATAGCCGTTTACTTCTCCAACCAGATGGGATTAAGAGAGATTGCGTCCTTCCTTCCATACCCCCAAGTCCTGCCTCATAATTAGCTCACTGCCCACCCGTGTTGAACAGACTGTATGCTGACAAGTTTTCTGAATTAGAGCATTTCTCACACCTCAGCATTCGCGTGTGTGATGGGTAAGACATTTACATGAAAGAGAAATTGGCACATACTTCAAATAGTTCAAATGGAGAAATAGTACTTGGGAGGGAAGCCGCCAATAATATGAGATGCTGCAAATAACACTGCAATAGTGGAAATTCCTGTATAAGAAG